ATAGCTTGAAGTTTTAGGTGTGCATTCTTCAAAAAAAGAAGAATCTAATAAATATATCAAAAATAATAATTTGTAATAAATAAATTGACCAAAATACTTCTGAAATGTTTCGGGAGTATTTTGGTCAATTTATTTTTTTTGAATTATTTTTTAAATATTTTTATTAGGTGCGCATTGATGAGAAGAATGGACGCCTAATATTTCAAGATTATTAAAATTTTTGGGGAGTATTTTGGTCAATTTATATTTTGTAATTTTTTTTTTTATTATTATGTTTTTATTAAGTGAGCCTCACTAAGATGTGCATACACTTCAAATTTCAAGTAATTTGGATTTTTAGAAAAAAAATGAAAAATGAAACATTACCAGACAACTGTGACTGTATGATGAAGTTTGGATGATGATGATGGTAGGCGAAATCACTGTTCATTTTCGCCTATAGGTGTTGGGAAGAGTTTTTCATATATATATATATAGAATAATATTCAAAATAATTTTTTGGAATTGATGGATTCTAGATCCAAATCTGAATATTTTGGATCCGATTGGATTCAGATCCGGATCTCATATATACTTTTGGATCCAAATCTGGATCCTTGTGGATCTGGACCAAATCCGACACATTCTCAACCCTATTTAAAATCCTTTTTTTTTTTTGTGAAAATTACCCATATGATAATTTTGAAGTGAATATCAAAATTTCATGTAAAAAAGATCCTCCTAAATTGGTCATTTCTTTGGGGAGTATGGTGCTGTCGTCATTTGTATTGGAGAATCGATTGCAAGTAAAAAGCGTTTGAATGAATCTATTTTCGATGGTAATGAAAGAGAGGGGGACCCTTGTATGAATATTATTGCACTCTAAAGGATACATACAAATAGAAACAATTCAACTCCTTTACTTATGTCAGCCTCAAAAACAATTTTTTTTTAACATTTTAAGTCAGCCTCAAGTTTTATATGCATGATTATCCGTAGAAAGTTAGATGTTATTAGATCATGCCAATACTAGTTGTGGAACACCAATTTGTCTTGAAATTGAACATTTGAAGTTGCATTTCTCTCAATTTTATGATGCATGATTTTCTAAAGAATTAAGGGAGTCCATCTCCAAGTCATTGTAACATGAAATCCAATGCATGGTCATCTCGTAAGTCATTGTAACATGAAATCCAATGCATGGTCAACATGAATTGTGATGATTTTGACTGTTACCTAGAATTCCATTAGGGAGTGTGTCATTATTTTTGGGTGAGTCAATGGGGAGAGGGCCCCTACCCTTGGTAGGAATTGAGCTTAGGACGTAGCGTTGCAAATCGTCAAGCACTAACCAATTAAGCCCGGGCTCTTTTATTGTAGGGAGTGTGTCATTGACCACGTTTAAAGTTCAAACTTTATATAGATAATTAATAAACTTGTAGCAACAAACTCGAAACAGAGGCAGTTGTCATGGTGGATGCCATAACCTGACGTATAGAGCTCCATTCTCGTTAGTTCCAAATTAAATTTAGAAAAAGGAAAAAAAAAACCTCTGCCACATGATTTCAAGCATGGTCAATGATATACCCCAATCTCCCAATTTTACATTTAATGGTTAGGGTGGGTGATATTGACTTTTTAATGCTATAGATCAATAAACGGTCTTATTGTATACTTTTTCATATACAGAAACTAAAATGTATCAAAATTCCGACCAAATAAGCATCTATGTATGCTTGCCCTTAGCAACTCCTGCTTGTTTAGGGCTAGATTGACAAGAGAGTTGATTATTTTGAGATAAATAACAAGAGAGTTGATGATATCATGGTCTTTAGGGCAAGTATGAAACACAAGAACAAGCTGAAAGTATTATTTAAAATTTATGTTAAAAAGAGTTTGGGATTGTATATTATGAGACTTTTGACATTTTATATAAAAGAAGTCAATCATTTTTAGCTATTGAATATAAAATCCAATAGATTAAAATGTCTCACAACATTTAAATTTTTTTTTTTTGGACAATGTGCCAATCAATGACACATCCTCAGCCATTCCATTTCATTTCCAAAAGACAATGATGATTATGACTTTCATATATCAAAAGTAAATGGTCTCATTGTATATAATTCTAAAGAGTTTAATTATGTGAAACACTCGACATACAAATGGGGGAAGCAATTCTAAATGCGTAGACTACTACTATTAACGAAAATTATAACATTTGAAGCCCCAAATTTCACCTTGAATTATTCAAAGAGAAAGAACATAAATCAGGTAATCACTGTCACAGAAAGGTTTCCTTCCCTTCGGCACTACAAACACTGTACTACTTTTCCAAGAACACGATAACAAATGTGTAATTTCATTCCTAAGAAGGGGACCTTTTTCCATTGAAGTACCCAAAAAACGAAATGATGCACTACTATTTGGGGCACCTTTTCCATGCCTTAATTGCCTTACTAATCTTCAAAAAATGATGTTATTAGGCACAAATGCCACACACATACTGCTTCATGTGTATATTAGCATTGAGATCTTCAATAATAAAGATGAGTGGATCGCCAAATTTTAAAACCTTGGTAAATATAAAAGATGACTAGATCGCCAAATTTTAAAACCTTGGTAAATATAAAAGATTAGTGGATCGCCAAATTTTAAAACCTTGGTAAATATAAAAGACGAGGTTTCTGGTAAGGCCAAGCTTAACGAAATTTGGTAAGGCCACACTTCAATATATAGCTAGAAAAATCAGATCATGTAAGAAACAAATCTTGTTGTGGCCTGCAAATTCATTTATACACTAAAAATTGAAGCTATAAAAATGGTGCACATATGGCAAATTTATAAGGGTGTGGTTTGTATAAAGCCAAGGCTCTAAACAATCGAAGTAAAGCGCACCTTCAAATAGTGTCAAGAAATTTGGTTTCAATACTGAAAATCCTTGTGATAGCATTAAAATATATTTTCATCTATAATTATAAAATTTAAAGATTCAAGAATAGTATTAGATCGAGCGGATCTATGAAAACTTGAAAATCTTAAAAATTGACGGTCCAAAAATGCATTACAAGATGTATTATTTCCAAAACTTGAAATCCATTTTTTTTTTTCTTATTTCCATGCATCTTGAGGTTAAGATGATCATTTGAAGATACAACCTCTTCTAATGAATATTTTGAGGTGTGACCTAATTTGATTGTTTAGAGCCTCATACTTATATAAACTTTTTCCCATTTATAAACATTGGAAGTAGATGGTCTAAAATATGCAGTGCAAGTTAGATTAGTTTAAGGACTTAAAACTCATTTTCTTTTATCAGATCCATGATCGTCACGGTTGGGATGATCAATTTGTTCGGATTCCCATACTGGAAC